GGCCTGCTGTGTTCATCCAGCTCTGCACCTTGTTGTCAAGGAATCTAACTTGTTGACCTTTTTGCTTCTGTTTGCGAACAGTGAGCGTCTGTTTATGGACATGGCTGACCGGTTGGCAGAAGATGGTTGGAAGGAACTTGGATATCAGTATGTGAACATTGACGATTGTTGGGCAGCAAAGAGGAGGGACTCAGAAGGACGGCTGGTGGCTGATCCCGTAAGATTCCCCAGTGGAATTAAAGCTTTGGCTGAATATGTGAGTCTAGATTTTATCCTTCTCGTATCCCACCCCCTCAACTCTCTCTTTCTTCCTCTCATCTTTATCCTGACTGTACCACTCTAACCTCACCCCACCCAGGGGAGAGGAGGAGTGTGAATATAACCATTGGATTTGCAGCTGACCTGAATGTTGAATGAGTCAGGATTGGGTGGAAACTGATTGTGGTCTCAATATTGTTCTGCAGTGCATCATTCAGGAATTTCTACTGAAAGAGGAGCATATTTGTTCTGCAGTTGTTTGTCGAGTGGGTGAGACTTTCCTTTTTCTTTGTAAGTGGTTGTGGGGGTGTGGTGTGGTGACCATACTAGATGGTGACTACCACACCATCCCCACAGGTCACAGCTTCTGTGTCCTAAAATCTGCTACTTGAGACCTACAGCTAGGGGATTCCTGTGATGAGACATGTCAGTTTTCTCATCTAACTATGGAATTTGCTCCCCCAGAGTGTGATGGATGCTGGGACATTGAATAAATTTAAGGAAGAAATGGATAGATTTTTACTGAGTAATGGGTTGAAGAGCTATGGAGAGTGGGCAAGAAAGTGGAGTGGAGGTGGAGATGAGATCAACCATGATTGTGTTAAATAGCAGAGCAGGCCCGAGGGGCTGAATTGCCCTACTCCTGGTTCTTATGTTTTTCTCACAGCATTGAGGTCATAGAGAAGGGCAGGGTGGTGTTTGGAGGATGGTTTTCAGAGGCTACCACTTGCCTCTTGTCTGTGCCCCTGATTGTCCCCAGATTAGTCGAGTTGGACCCTAGTCTGTAGGCACCTTTCTCATCTGCTGGGGAGGTGGTGAGTTGTTGCTTCTTAAGAGGCTATTAGTCAATCACTTAAGGGGCTTAATAGCTGGTGTACTGAGAAAGTTGTGGTGCTTTGTCCAGGAATCCAGTCCGTACTGGTCTCAATCTATCTCTGCAGCTCTGGGGCCTAGGTTATTTCTAACTGTTTGACTTAACTCCCTGGTTTATAAATATGCAGAACTTGCAACATCCACATGAGCTACATGTAATTGCCGCAAGCCACTCTTTATGCTCTATGTGAACTTCCTCCCACCTCTCCCCATCTCACCTTGCTTTTGTAATGGAGACCTGTTTCTAAAGCCAAAAAAGATTAATTTTTTTTAACAGCCTAATAAATTTGTCCTGCCACCTTCCAACACTTGCATTCCAACAGAAGGAAGGAACAAGAACAGTCCATTCAACTCCCTTCAGCATTCCCTCCTCACATAGTGTGTATCTGTCAGGACAAGATATTAGAAGGCAGTACGATTTGGGATGTTGCATCCAGTTTGGGATGGTGAAGGCCTTCGAGAGGGTGCAGAGAAAATTATTAAGAATGATTCCAAACACAAGGGACTCTAGTTATGTGGATAGATTGGCGACAAAGGGTTTGCTTTTGTTTGGAAAATGATTTGATAAAAGTTCTGAAGATCATGAGGGGTCAGAGTCATTAGGGAGAAATTGTTCTGACTGATAGAAGGATCAAGAACTAGGGGATACCAATTTAAAATAAATGGTAAAATAAAGAAAGATTGGAGGAAAGGAATCATTTTGCACAGCGGGATCAGGATCTGGAATGCATGAGATTGTAGCAGAGACACAGTTAATCAGGCTTTTTTAATTAGAACTGAATAATTATCTGAAGAGAACCAAAATTGCAAAGCTGCAGAGAAAGGACAGGGAAGTGGAACTACACCATAGAATCCCTACAGTGTGGAAACAGGCCCTTCGGCCCAACAAGTCCACACCGAACCTCAGAGCATCCCACCCAGACCCATCCCCCTAATTTACACCTCCCTGAACACTATGGGCAATTTAGCATGGCCAATCCACCTAACCTGCACATCTTTGGACTGTGAGAGGAAACCAGAGCACCCGGAGGAAACCCACACAGACACGGGGAGAATGTGCAAACTCCTCACAGATAGTCATCCGAGGCTGGAATCGAACCTGGGTCCCTGGTGCTGTGAGGCAGCGGTGCTAACCACTGAGCCACTGTAACTAGGTGAGTTGTTCTTGCAGAAAGCCAGCACAGACGTGACTTGTGCCTTCACTGGGTGCTGCTGTTCACTTCTGCTTTTGCCTCATTATTAACCCTTCACCTCTCAGGCCTAGCTTAGACCCAAGCCACATAGATGGGCTGAAAGCCATTTTCTCTCTTACTGTTGAACGCAAGCCTCCAAGACAAAATAGTTTTGAGGCTGTCAGGGGAGGGGAAAGGATTCCAGCCTCCATTTCCATCAGAGAATTTGCCTGCCTTTTGTTTAAGGCAAC